TATAAAGTAAAACTTTTATTATTATAATTTTTATAATTTATTAAGAAATTTTATGATTTTAATTAATGATAAAGTGACTCAATTAGTACGCAAACATATAAATTTTTAAAGAATTTTTAAAAAATAAAGTTGCATGTGATTTACATGATATGATCATATCATGTAAGTCACATGCAACTTAGATCAGGTTATAAAGGTAACTTCATAATCTGCCGGTGTCTTCATGATATAATGGTATCTTCATAGTCTGCCGGTATCTTCATAAATTGCTGGTATCTTCATAGTATAATGGTAACTTATAGTCTGCCAGTATCTTCATAATATAATGGTGATATCATAATCTAATTTCACGATCTGGTGGTGACATCATAATCTACTGTTCATAATCTAATAATTATTTCATCTCTTACTTATGGGTAGCTTCTTTGAGTTTATAACATTATTTTAATCGTTTCCTATATATTATGGTGGTGATTTCATAGTCTAATGATAGCTGGGAATGCTTTAATTAAATGTTGATGTCATAATCTAATGGTATCTGCTGTCTTCTTATTTCTAATTCGTTTACATAATAAATTTTACATTGTTGGTATTGGCTTTTCAATCTTTTTTGAATGCTTGGTTCTATAATGATAGTGCTGTCTTTTTGTGCCGGTTTGATTATACTGAAATAATATAAAAAAAAATGACAGGTGACGCAGTAAATTTACATCTATAATCATATGATAGTGATCTCAGAGAGCTCAATGACAGGTGATTCTCTACGCATTTATTATTAGAATGATCATATGATAGCAATCCCAGAAAGCTTAGTGTCAGATGTTATCTAACAAAAATTTGTGTGGAGGTGCAATACACATTATTATAGCCAGCTCATTTGATTGCCCAAAAGTGCGTACCTTGCAACTAAAGCAACTATTGCCTATTTGTTGCTGGTATATGTATGCTAGTAAATTGCATCCCTATGAATGTATAATATTTGCGTCTAAGTTGTAAAAAAAAATGAATTTTTCTGCACACTTGCTTACCCTAGATATTATATATGCTCAAGCACATACTAGTGTTAGAAGTAGTCTTCTACCAATATTTATATAATGGATTACGCATAAGACTACCCTAAGTTTCACCTATTAAGAATTTGTTTATTCGCAATTCTTTTTTCATCTTGCTATACGTCGAAAAGATAAGTCTTCTGCTAATATTTTATATAATGATTACGCAGAAGACTTATTCTGAATGACACACTCAAGTACATATCTAGAAAAGTGTAGCCTTCTGCCAATATTTTATATAATGATTATGCAGAAGGCTACACTAAATGACATATATACCTGAGTACATATTAGTATTAGGGTAGTCTTCTTCTATTATTTTATATAAAGATTCCAAAGAAGACTACCCCATTACACATACTCGAGTGCATACTAATGATAGGGTAGTCTTTTTCCAATATTTTTATGCACTTTCTACCCTAGATGTCATAACATACTGAGTACATATCTAGGAAAGTGTAGTCTTCTTCCAATTTTTTATATAAGATTACGAAGAAGACTACACTTTTCAGATACATCTGGATGGCTTCCTTTTATGCTTTGCTTACTAAATTCGCTACTACTTCTTTTTATATCCTTCAAAAAAATTAATTAAACATTTCTGAATTTTATAGAAATAGTATAACTTTTCAAACTAATATTATGTATACACACACTAATTTTGATCAAACTGATCACACTGGCCCTCTCGTCTGCTATGACAGCGCCAAATCTGGTGAATACTTAAGTAACTCAAATAGCTATAATGATAATGATTCTGATTGTGAATCAGATGATTATAATAACTACGAGTCTAATTATGCGTCTGATAATGAAAAAGCTTCTTGCGCTTCAACTAGCACTACTGAAGTTGTAAAAGAACGAAAGGTTAATGTGACATATACTTTAGGCAAGAAAACTTCAATGATAAATTTTCCCCTAAGGATTTGCTAAATGCCATTCGGTGAATTCTCTCATCATTGCCTAGAGATATGTCAGACAATAAAGGGTCGTTGGATTGCCTTCCAATCTATTCATTCCTCTTTTCGAATAAAAAAGGCTCTAGCTTATATAACGCTTATGACCGAAGTGAGGTGAAAGATAAATTAGTTATAAAAATTGACTAAAATGGTGATCATGCCCCCAAATTTTCTGTTGCTAATGACATTTCTGAAGTATATAGCTTATCTGAGATTCATGAATGTATTAATGGTCAAAAACCTTTAAGAGTCGTGATTGACATAGATGCTTCGCAAAAAGATATTGAAATAACTGGTGTTAAAGTACAAGAAGTATTCTTTTGAATCTGCCTATCTTTCATAAGAGCCTTGTATCGAATTCTTGATTGTAGCTGGAAGAATATTCTCAATGGATTAGTAATTACTACATCATCGGATCATAGCAAGTGTAGCTACCATATTTTATACGCACCAGCTCTTCTTATTGATCATCACAAACTCAAAGCATTTACTGAATTAGTATATACTATAACCAGTGAAAAATTCAGCAAGTTTATTGATAGAAGATTACCTGGTCAAAATTTTAACTTTCGCCTAATTGGTTCAGCAAAAAAAGGTCGTGTAAAGCGTATTCTTCAATTCTCACTAGATAATGGGTGGAATAAATTCGATCACGCTAGAGTTCAACCACCTACTAGCTTAGGGCTTGAAGTAAGACCTCGAATGCTTAGTACAGAAAAAAATAATAATTCACTAAGAATATCTGTATGTCAGGATGTATTACAGAAATTCGCAAATCTAGTTTTGCAAAAATATTCTAACTATCTTAGGGATTGGACTATCAAAGAAAAGGGCTCAGAAAACTTCATATATTTTAACCGGAAAGCTCTACTAGAATGTCCACTATGTAAACGTATACATGATAAAGATCAAAGGTAGTTCAGCTGTATATGCGCTAACAGTGGGAAGTTCATCATAAAATACTTTTGGCAGAATAGTGATGAACCAGGGGATGTTTTTGAATGTGACCCATCTATTGCAGAAAAAATTCAGCGAAAAAATAAAAATTCTCTACAATCCTCTCACAAGATAAAATATCCAGGTTTCCCTAAGGTCTTCGTAAAATTCCCATCTTGGGTTAGGTATAATGACTTCCTTACAGCAACAGAAATATATGAGGAGAGATATGTAAGACAATTTCCCAATGAAGGTGATATCTATATGGGGTCGCCTTGGGAAACGGGAAAAATCTATATTTTTAAAAATTTAGCTATTTCTGATGACGTAAATTTACTAGTGCTATTTACGCATCACTCTTATTCTAATGCTATTACTACAAGGCTTAATCTTAAGTTATATTGCGATATTGATAGTAATATAAATCTACCTGATCATAAGAGGGTAGTATGTCAGATAGAGAGTTTACACCATATTACTAATAATTGTAAATACGATAAAATTGCAAATGCTCTCCAACCCAATACAATTTATGGCTTGATGAAATAGTATCTATAATTGCTCAAGCATAAAGTCATTTGGCAGGGCAGTCGATAGAGAAATTATATAAATTAATCCAAAAGGCTAGGCACATTATCGTCATGGATAATGATCTTACCGATCTTAATATCAAATGGATTAAGTCTCTTTGTAAGGATAGTCCATTCTCTGTTATTCACAATACTTACTAGCCTCAGAAAGGTAAGACATTCCGCCTGGCTCCTAATAAAGAAATAGTATTAATTGAACTTTGGGAATGGCGTAAACAAATGTCTTTATTACCTTTTGTGAATCGGACAAGTGCATTGCTTATCTGTCACCTTAGAAAAGATATGCAAGGAATAGTTTATGCTCTCAAGACTGATTTTCTAGAATTACAGATCAAGGAATATCACGGCAAGTCTGATCTAGTGGAAAAGACTCATAACTTCAGCAATGTAAAAGAATCATGGAAAGACATAGACCTAGTTGCCTATACTAGCACTTTAAAAATAGGAGTATCCTGCACTAATCCTAAGTTTGAGCGAGCATTCTGTCTTTTTAACAGCTACATAAAAACAAATACCGGAACGAATCAGATGTTATTCCGCATGTGGTACATTAAAGATTATATATGTCATATTGAATAGAGATCTTCTAACGTTCTAGCTATAGAGAAAGGATTATTTCAGTAGTTATTGAATGCCAAACACGAATGTCTTCCTCAGGAACTTTAGAATAGAGGAATATTTCCAGATATAGATTTTATCATCTGGAATAAGGATGTACCAACTGTTCGTTTATGAATGGTCTATATATTAGAAAGATTCCGTTCCCAGCACTTATTTGGTTGGAGAATGGTTAATTTTCTCCAAAATGTGGGTATGGTAATTTCTGTCATGGAACTAATTCCTAAACCTAAAGGTACTATGATGTAGTTATTCCAAACAGTGAAGGCGAGTTCCTCAACCATTAAAGCAGAGGAGATAGCAGATATATCTAATGCTACTATTATCAATTATGAGACTGCTGAATTATTGGAGAATAAACCAAAGAAGACTTTAGAAGAGATGCGCTCTTTAGACTGGCATCATATCGTGAATTGTTATGAGATTTTGCCTGAATCATTGACTGAGAATTTCATCTCAAAGTATGGGAATTACAATCACATGAAATGGTTTAAGACTTATAAGCAATTATGAGATGCTAGTTCTAACAATGAAACAGCCGTTGAGGCTATATCCCATAAAGATTACAGAGAAGATAGGCTCACAACTGCAACTCGGGCTGAGAGGTATTGAATTTTCCTAAAATTGTTAAGAAGTTGTATACCAGCTAGAGATATCGATGATAGGGCACGATATAAAGCTGATGAAGTCAAAACGCACATAAGTTCTCCCAAATCGACATCGTATTTTTAGGGTTTAGTGCCTAAAATGGCTCGAGTATTTGATAATACAGATGCATCACGCAATACTAAGAAATCAGGATTAAAACAATCTGAACGAAACTTGGTTTATTAAATACATCCCTTTACACAACTTATGGATTGAAATTTAAGGCCATTGATAAGAGTTAAAGATATTATCATTTAGTTGGTTTATTCGATAGCAAGAACGTTACCAAGTTCCTTTCATACCAAACAGGAGAAGAAATTTATTGGAAAAATGGTAAAGATACTTGATATGGATATAGTAAGATCTCACCTGATGAATTATTATTAGGTAATCTTTCTAGTTCTAGCAAAGTTGATAATACGCAAATTTCAGAAGATATTCAGAATTTATTTGATATGTGTTAATGTTATGCCTGAATATATATTTAGAAAGTATAGTCTTCTTCCAATATTTATATAAGATTATGAAGAAGACTACACTTATTCAAGTAGGTATCATTAAAAAAAATTCTCACTCCAGTCAGGATATATAGTCATATACTTTAAGACATAGGCTTTTACCAAATTTTTATATAATAATCGACTAATGAATAAAATAATATATTATTTTTACTTACTTTCCAGGAGATAATTCAGAGTGATTCCTAATGCTCTGAATTTAATGAAGTGCCTTAAAGGCCAAGCTAACCACTAATTCCCAAATGGGTCAATATCTATATTCTCACAATTTGACTCAGAAGCTAAAGCTAAATCGATTCTGAGTTAAAAGGTTCTAACCATATCACTCAGCTCGAAAATTGGAGATTTAGAAATTCTGGATTGAAGAGACCCATTCCCATTACCCAACTCAGAAATTGGAGCTTCAGGAATTCTGAATTGACAGAACTCAGCCTTATATTTCTGCCTCATCTGATAATCATGTGCATATAATTTAGCAGAGTGTTCAGAATAGTATCCCAAATCATTGGGAGTAGGAAATTTACATGTAATGCAAGGTTTTTTTTCTTATTTTTTTCATACAATTTCCAGTATCTATAACACCCGATAGGGTCACAGCATTTATTTCTGCAAACAATGCCATCCCTCTTAATATGTGCGCAAGTAAAACGAGCTATGAAAGTATTTTAGGATATAAAACCCTCTTTTACTTTTAATTTCATAATAAAATATGTATTTAAATTAATCAGAATTAGATATTTTATCTTTTCATACTAACGCTATGAACATATCAGGCTAGTCAGCAGAGCGCAAGCTCACTCACGAAAAATATATAACCCTAAATCTAATCGCATGATAGTTATAAATGGGTCAGTATATCGTAAAACGTTACTCGAAGGCTATATGCATTGGAGAGAAGAAAGGCTTTTGATCCCGCTTTTACATGAATTGCCAATATTAAGAAGATATCTTTCTTTCATTTCATATCGTATCTGGAACATTGTATCAGAAAGAAGTTTACTAGCAGTTGTTAACGAAAAAATAAGCTTATTGCAAATTTTACTCAAAGCTAATTAGCATAATTTCACTTTATGTCAACTATTAAAATTATGCTGGAAGCGTAAAGAGATGAAAACTTGGAGGAATAATGTACTCATAAAATTCCTCTATCATCTGAATTCAGCTCCTTCAAAGTATAAACCTAGTGCTTTATATGATGCGTTCACTAAGACAAATGCTTTAGGACCAGAACAAATTTTAGCTCTAGCACGAGTATTTTATTAACATATTATTAGATATAGATGAATTTGTTTAAAACCTTGGAATGAAGGTTCTATGACTATGTTTTTTTCGCTTATCCTATCTACTCGCAATTTTCAAATCGATGTAAATACCCTTCGATTCCCTGTTAGCTTTCACTGACCATGAGCTGGATGTTTAGGCATGAGCCATCACATGTAGTGAATTATCAGAATATTTTTTTTGAATTGAACTTTTTCCTGCGTAGTATAACCTAACAGTCGAACATAATCTAATAGTTACTTCATAAAGTATATCCACATTATCATGTCCACGATTGTAATAAAATACGTTACAGAGCACAAACTCAGTAAAGATATAAGTGATAAAGAACTTAGCCAGCATGCCTCAGCATTACTTGATCTTTTGACAGATAAACTAAAAAGAGACAAGGGTTGACAGCACTTTCAAAAAGGTATAGTTTTAGCAAAGAGTAGGCGTTTATACTAGTTCCTGATCAAAGAATTTGTCGAAGTAGAAGTCGAGTAGCTCCCAAAAAAGGAGGGGTGAAGCAGGGGAAATTAATATATGCCAAGTATCTGACATCATCCCAGACGGAGAAACTGTCAAAATGATAGCTCAGCAAATTACCAAGAATAATCTTAGCGAAAAAGAAGTAGTATCTATAGCTAAAGCTTTAGCTAAATCTGCTTCTAATTCTAGCGCTGGTTCATCTCAAATCTCTAGGCTTTGAAGTGAGTTGTGAAACCTTGAAGCCTCCGAAAAATTGTCTCAGCTACATTGATTCCAGAGATAACTGTTCATCTAATAAAATTCAAAAGGAGCATAAGGAGCAATGTGAAAATGAAGGAATCAATTTTCCTGACCACTTCTCGCTAGAATCGGTTAAGGAAAGATTGGATGGGTATGACGTATCTAACACACCCGATGTGCAAGCCCTAGCTGATGTAATAATTATGCTTTGCATCCGTTCCGCTGAAATTAAAGACTTGTACATTTCTAATAGAAGTGTAACTGGGTATTCAAAAAACTGAGATCAGCAGGATAATACTCGGGTGTTTAGATCGTTAGAAAGAGATGAAAGGCAGGCTAAACTTCTTCTTACTTGGATTCAGGATGCAATTTCTTCTGGATAGTTGAGGGATTCAGGAGTACGAGGAGTTAAATGGTTTAATTAGAACTCCTAATGAGTCGAGTCGAGTCGAGTTTTAAGATAACTCGACTCGATTTAAAAAATTTGAGTCAAGTTGAGTCGAGTCAAAAAATTTTAAAACTCTAACTCGACTCGACTCGAGTTATACTTAAATTTGACTCGACTCAAC